TTATCCTTGTCTTCCTTAACGGAAAGCGGTGGGATTCTTGGGCTGTTTCACATCTGGGTTTCTCGTTTCACTTCACGGCATCCCAGTCTGAAGCCCTTGGGCCAAGGGGGTGAGCTCACTCCGGACATCGTCCTCCGCAAAGAAAACCCTTTTCTGTGGTCCTTTCCGCAAAACGATGCGGGCTCTGAAGAGGATGAAGACGGTAGAATTCCCGACCTAGAGAGAGACGATTTTGCCCTACGGAGAGCGAGGCTCAACCGCCGTGAAGCTGCCTTGCCCTTTACTCACTTCCTCCTTCCTCCTTCCACCAAGAAAGATTGGAATCGAAGGGAAGAAAAAAAGACACAGACAAAAAACCGGGAGTGTCCCAGGTGGGCGCACGTATTTGTTTGTGGCAGGAGTGGAGTTTGAAAATAGGAGGAGGTCAAACACCATAGAGGTCCCTGTACTTCTCGTGGGGTTCTCACAGCCGAAATTGGACATGGATATAAACTCGGCCATGTTACATCAATGCAGGCAGGGATGGGCCGCTACCGGGTTGGGAGAACCGGATGTTGATTATACATCTGGTTCACTGAACCGGTAGCTGCAGTGACTAGTTGGCCCCGCCCACCTCACCCCGCCCCTCCCAGGACTCTCCATGCAGCCCATTTTGATTTCCAGGGAAGTCCAGGGCCCGCATGGAGGCTCGGGGAGAGCAAAAACAGACTCCCAGAGGCTCCGGAGGGTTGGAGAGCCTGGGGAGTGGGGAAACAGGCCTCCCGGAGTCTCAAGAAAAGCGTCCGGAGCCCAGAGAGGGTGAAAACTGCCCCCCCCAATGTGGTGCAGAAGGCCGACTAGGCCACTCCCACTATGGCCTCTCCCACCCAGCAACTGGGCAGAGAACCGGTTGCTAAATTTTTTGAAGCCCACCCCTGAATACAGGCAGTCCTCAACTTATAACAGTTCATTTAGTGACTGGTCAAAATCAGTGTTATGGAGAAAAAAAACGACCGTTTTTCTCCCTTGCCACTGTTGCGGCCTCCCTAGTCACGTGATCAAAATTTGAATCCTTGGCAACTGATCCATACTTACAACAGTTGCGGTGTCCCAGGGTCCTGGGATTCCCCATGGGTGACCTTCTGACAAGCAAAGTCAAGGGGGAAGCAGACTTGCTTAATGACCAGGTCGCTAACTTAACCACTGCAGTGATTCACTTAATGACCGTGGCAAGAAAGGTGGTAAAAGGTGGAAAGGTGACAAGAAACGGGGCAAAATGCACTGAACGGCTGTCTCAGCAGCAAAAAAAGGGTTGGGCTGAATCGTGGTCATGAGGATTACCTGCATAATGGTCTCGCGCTGAGCTAGACTAGGTGCCCAGATTTGGAGGAGTCGGAAAGGAATCCTCGACGTACAGCGATTCTTGAGCCCTAGATTTTTGTTGGTTGTTAGCTGAGCTTTGCTCCATTTTACAACCTTTCTTGCCACAGTTGCTAAGTGAATGTGTCCAGGGCATGGCACAAAGGCAATCCAGCCAGAGAATAAGTAGTATTAGTTCCAACTTTGTCCCCAATGACCCGGTTACTTTCCGGTCTGGAGAAAAACTCTCCCAGGAACCTGCAACAGCCTTTGGCTGCAGATATTCCAATCCAAAACGGAAAACTTTAAACTATAAATCCAACAAGGCAAAATAAGGATATTAAATCTGGCAGAGCAAGAAACATGGCAGTAAATCAAACCAGTTGGGAGGATGCCAGGATAACCATAGCCAACTCAAGATAAACTCAACGTTTGTTCCCAACAAACGTCTATCCCAACTGCCTCTCCTTTCACCTCCCTCCCCAGGTATGCCTTGTGATGGGAATCAGGGCCCTTTCCTCCCCTGTAAGCCATGCAATCCACATTGCTCTCTTTTGCGTTCTCCCCTGCGTGCCCTAGGATGAGAAGGGGTTGGGCCTGGGTCTTCCTCTGAACCCCCCTCCCTTGTTCTACCTCTTCCCTGCTCTGCCCAGCCAGACTTTGCCCTTCCCCAGTTTTTTCCACAGCCAGTGGACCCACACTCCTGCTCCCTGTCAGCTGTTCGTCTTCCTCCTCGGATTCAGACTCCGACAGGGGGCATGACAAAATGGCTGCAGCTGTTAAGCTGGTATCCCAGTTGTAAAGTAAATCTGGCTTCCCCTTTGACTTTGCTTTCAAGCAGGTGGCAAAAACTGGGGGGGGGGGTGTCATATGACCCCAGGACACTGCAACTGTTGTAAGTACATGCCAGTTGCCAAGCAACCGAATTGTGAACACGAGGGATGCTTCCAACGGTCATTAAGTATGAAAAATAGTCATAAGTCACTTTTTTTCAGTGCCATGTAACTTTGAGCGGTCACCCTACTTATATATGGTTGTAAGTTGAGGACTACTTGTCCTATATTTTACTCTTCATTCCGGCCCTTTTACAAAGTACACAGGAACCGAACTACAATGTGGTGTCAGCAAAGTAATTTTGGTGTCAGCTCTACGAAATATAGATGTGAAAACGGAGTTAGAGGGAAAAGGAGGGAAAGAACTCACCAGAAACAACTGCTTTCTGGACAGAAAACAATAATCCTACCTTTGTCTCTTTTTTTAAGTGCTTTTTCATCCCGTTATTATTTTTATAAGCGATTCAAAGCAGCAAATGTCCATATGATAGATTCCCTTCTATATAAAATCAGATTTTTTTTTGCAAATTATACTCTTAGGGCCTGTTAAAAGTAAAATGGCTTTCCCCCCCACCCCCAAAAGATTCAAGTCTTTTGGCAATCTCGCATCAGATTTTTAAAATTTTGTATAATTGAATTGATCTGACTCCTCCCACCTCAAAAAACCCCTGTTTTGGTCATGTCCAATCAGTTCAACACTCCCAAATGAAAAAAGCAAAGGAAATGGCAAAAAAATGGCCATTTTCTCTCTCTCTCTCTCTTCTTTCTTTCTTTCTTTCTTTCTTTCTTTCTTTCTT